CAAAGTGAAGTTAGCAAAACCAGAAGAACAATTTATTCAGTGACAGTACTGTAAACACAAACAACTTGGTAAGTTTTAGAAACTTTGACCAATGCAATGACAAACCACAATTCTGAAAGACACATAATGAAACCTACTATCCATTTCCTGATAGAAAAATGATGGATTCAGAGTGTAGAATGAGAGATTATTTGCTAATGGCCAATCCAGGGTTTTGGTTTTTTTTACTCTACTATACATTTCTGTAACATAGTTCTTGTTTTTCTTTCTTTTTCAATTTGAGGTGAGGAACAGAAGGCAGAGTATTGTTTATGTAAAAGAAATAAAATTTAACTTACAAAAGGAAAGAAAAATAATTGCTTTTTTACTCAAAGTATGTTCAAATGGAGCAAATGTTAGCTTCCTATTTATGCTTCTTAGAAGTTCATAAATCAATAGCAGAGTAACAACAATTTCTTCAATTAGGAATGAAGTGTAAAATAATTTTTTGTGTCATTACACATTTAAGAATTCAAAATATATAAGAAATGAAGAATATGTATCTTAAAATAATATTTTCATAAAATAATAATTGTATCCAGGAGTTTAAGCAATGTAGGTTAACTGCCACAAACAAAAACCCAGAAAGCATCTTAGACAATAAATTACCTACTTAATTACCAAAAAGAAAAAAATATTGCTGCCAAAGGCAAATATTATATTAGAATATAAACTTGTTTGTAAAATCTTACATAAAAAGGATGACAGATGATTATGGGCAATATCATCTCAGTAAGCAGAGCGAAGCAATGGAGGATAAAACCTGTTTAAAGAAAGCTTGGAAAGATAGCAAACTGAGCAAAGCTATCCCAAGGGCATTAAGGATGAAAGTAGAATACAAAGAGAAAAAAAATGGAAAAGATTGCAACAAAATAAAACATTTTTAACATTGTCAAAAACAAAAACACTGTTAACTTAAACTTTTATCAAGGACAGTGGGACTTCCACCCTTAAACCATACAGTCCTGGAGTTGCTTATAGAGGTAGGAGAAACAGCACCAAAAAGAACAAGAAAGAAAAAACAGCTACACTGGGACAAGCACATATGGAGAAGATTCATGCTATACAGTTGTGAAGACACTGAGCAACCAATATAAAGTATCTTAATGGGGAGAAGATACCAAAAGCACAGAAAAATGCCAAAGCATATTAATAAAAAGTGACCAAGAGAACATCAGCAACTAACCACATATATGCCTATACAAAATCTTTACAACAATCATCTATACATAAAGCAAGGGCATCTCTGATAAAAATATCTATAGAGAACAAGAAAGCTATTGCAAGTAATAGTCAACATGTACCATAATTTTACCATTTCATTATTACCTGAAAAATATAGAGGATTTAAGACTCCATTGTGCTTATTGCTTGGTAAGAAAAAGCATTTTGATTCAGTAGAACAAAATGTTCCTGTATAGGCTCTTAACAATGTCTTTCCAGCACAAACATTAATATCATTCATGATTCATTGAAATATAAGACAAAAACAAACTTTTCACTGATTCTCTGATAATAAACATCAGGCAAGGCATGTGGATCACCACTGTACTGGAGAAATTCCAGCAGTGTTTAGGTTAAAGACAGATTCCTTGTGAATGAGGACGCCTTCCTGATGCTCTTGTTCACAAATGACCTCATATATAACTGGACAGACAGTACAGATGGACAGTGACCTGTGTCCAGAATTGAAAAAAATGAAGGACAGTGGTTTCTCTTGACTCCAAAAAATCACAAAGCATCCTTGCTGCCCCTAGGCTTTACATGAAATCAAAGGCCCATCATTTCAAGTCTAGCATTCTACCAGTGTTGTCATATAGCACTTTTGTTATCTGGAATACAACTTCCTCCAAAGGACTCAACTTGAACAGAACATAAAAGGTGATGGAGAGATAAATGGTGGATATGAACACATTACAACATGTAATAAAGACATCCAAAGAAGAATGCTGGTTGAAGACATCATCAAGACATTGGATGATATGAAGAGAATGATTGGTTGTTCATATGGCTAGAATGATTAAAAAATAGTGGGACAGCCAAAATGTTCTTACTAGTATACTAACAATGTCTAGAAAAAGTGAAGATGGCCTCCAAAGAGTTGTATGGAAGTCTTGTTTTGAATTTGTGAGAGGACATGGATAGAAGTCACAGAAAATGGGTAGGTCTCAATTATTTGTGAGCTATATCATTACAGAGAGCTCCCAAATCAGATAATTGTAACAACAAAAGGACAGTTAGGTTGCATAGTAGATAGAGTGCCAAACCTGAAGTCAATAAGAACTGTGTTCAAACCCAGGCTCAGATACTTACTAGTTGTGTGACCCTGGGCAAGTCACTTAACCCTGTTTGCCTCAGTTTCCTCACCTGTAAAATGAGATAGAGAAGGAAATGGCAAAGCACTTCAATATCCTTGCCAAGAAAACCCCAAAATGGGTCACAAGGAATCAGACAAGACTGAAAACAAAACAACAAAAACAAAAATAGCTAGTATTTATCTAGCACTATATAAATTGCAAATAAATTTGCAAATATTATTTCATTTTATCAAAGAGCTATTGAAATATGTCTTGAAAGGACTACAATATCTGTAGAACAGCTATCTTTCTGAGAAAGAATGATGCTAAAAGAAAAAGTGGCAACAAATATTTTTAAAATGTGTAAAGTATTTAATGAAATGAAGGTAAAATATAAAAAGAGCCTTGGAAAAAATACACCATACCAAAAGCACAACTAACCATAGATGGAATAGTTTTACACCAACTAGAATTAGACACAGTTCCAAGTTGAAAAGTTGTTTGGTTGTTTTCCGGGGGTGTTTTCAGAGGCGGGGGAGAGGGGGAATAGGCTACTGCCAGGAAAAGAAAAACAAAAACAAAGAATCGTTCACTAAACTCATTTTTAAGGTTAGCTATACATGGAGAGGAGTCAAGGAGTCATCAAATAAATGAAACTGTAAGTGAAAATACCAGCATCCTTTAAGGAGGCGTGCTCTGTGTAAGTATTAAGTCATTACTAAGGGAATGGATGATGTAAGCCTGAGAAATAGACAGAATTATTACAGAGAGAAAGAGTGAGAAAAGATCATGAACTTTAAAATGTACACACAGAAATAAAGGTTTAAAAACCAGAGGGAAAGGAAAGATTATTTTTGCGTATAAGATTTGGAATATATTTCAATTGTGTCCTGGTCCTTTCACAGATAATATTCAGTAAAATAATATTGGAAATTTAAAAGTCATAATCTTTCCCCATCTTCCCTAATATTAATTCCAGTGTTCACTGGAAACTCAAGTAGACAGTTGTACTATGGTTTCAATAGTACCTAAGTATGGCCTTAATAAAGAACTTCAAAACTATTTTTAAAAACTGTTACTTTTTTTAAAATTCATCTTGTTATAAAGCAGAAACTTGCCTTCTATTTTAAAAATGTATAACTGAATGACCAATAAGCCAAATAAAATCAAACACAAACAAAACAAGAAACAGACTAAGACAAAAAAAAATCACCATCCTCCTGATACTGATCCCAATGAATTACTTTCATTCTTTTTATTTTAATTCTCTCTTTAAAATTCTGTCCAGGTTACAGAAACATAAGATATTCTTCCTGTTTAAAACTAGGAAATTTGATGGCACACAAGTCAAATATAAGGTATTATGTTTCCAAAACCAGCTAATGACCCACTCACAAATAAACAAAGAGTGTACCAGCTTTTTATATTCCAATAGCATAATTGATCTATGGAATAACACAAGTGTGATTTCAGAGACTAAGATGTTTATATTCCTTTTTTTTGTTTTTGTTTTTGACAGAACTATTTTTTAAAATCCATTTCAAGGTTGCTACAAAGTAATAAACACATATTCTGGCTATATAGATTAAATAACTTTCTTTAAAAATGAAGGATAACTATAGACTGGACTTTGACATTGTTCTATACAGTTTCTTCCACAAATAGAATTCCTGAGATGATTTACAAACTATTTCTCAATGTGCTGTGCAAAACCTTATATAAATACTGACCTGCAGCACAGTGCCCTCTGGTGCACACAAAACAAAAAGTAAATCTTACAGTAACGAGCGGGCACACGCGTGCATGCACACACAAATACACATACACACAAACGAGTACAAATTCTAAACCAATTCTATCTTATTTTAGAATTTAAATTCAATAAGTCAGCAATCTACTGATTTAAAAAAAAAGAGTTTCTTATAAAACTATTACGTGAATTTCAAGCAAATGACCACTTGTGTATTCCTCTAGGCTATGGGTTGATTGGGTTTGGGGAAATGGCAAGTAAAAGCATCAATCAACGTTGGATGAAAACATTAACTTCTTTTTTGAGACATACCCAAAGTCAGATGCAAAATAACAACTGAAAAGTGAAAATTTTCTTTTCTAGTTCATCTCAGTCTTGATTATTTCCTTTCCTGCTGCGTTTCCTCATCTGCTTTCCCACCAAAGCCTTTGAAGTCATCAGTATTTTTACTTATTGAGGTTACAATTTCAATATCTTAAGAGGTCTCATACCTCAATAACCAGCTTGGAATATTTTCCTATTTGCACTCTTCTTAGATAGCATAAGGCATAAAGGCAAAAGAATTAATATTAAAGAGAAGCAGAGCTCCCAGATTCCACAGTTATTTACTTTTATAATTTTAATTTTTTTTGGAAGCCTGGGTTGGGGTGGAACATTCTAGAATTTGTGAGGCACAAGTGGTCACTGCCATTCAATTTGTTTTCAAAGTACTTTTAAATAAATACTTTTAAAAAGGGAAAGCATGCCTGTGGAATATGATATAGAATAACTACATATACATTTAGCAAAGATGATTTTTCTAGGGCTATGTGATTTAGTCCCCCATCTGAAACTTTCCCTTAAAGAAATCTGTCATTATTTATATACAGCTTCTAGGATGATATCTCTGTAATTGCTTTCCCTTTGCTTCATACCTGTAAATCTTGTATCTTGTGCTAAATCCCTGCCGGCTTCTGTCCACAAAATCTGTGTATTCCTGTGAGCGATGGAAGGGTCCCTTATCAGACAGGAGCCAGTCGAAGGGACTTGTGGCATGCTGATCCGAAACAGCAGCAACTGCTAAAACCCAGCAATGAAGACTCAGTGCTATCCACTCCCATAGAGCCATCAGAGAGAGCAATTCAGCACCAGCACTGCACCGCCATATCATGCTTCCACAGGGTACTTAGAGCCTTCATTCTCTTAGCTTTCCCTCAACACCTAGACAAAATACACAGGCAATTAGTTAACCCATAGAAGCTCAGACCATTCCATACTACTAACTTAAGGATGTGAAATCCTTCTCTCTTTATTTTTTCTTTAACTTTCAATTAGCATCAATCTCACTAAATTAAGTGATAGCACAGCTTTGCGGTATTTAGTGCACAGTAATTATTTTTACAATTGTGAACCTTTTCCTAAATGTTTGCTTTTCTTGTATTTATATTGAAAAATAAAATCATGCTATAATAGAATAATCAGTTTCAACACTGGTATAAAATGGATCAACTAAAAAGCCTTAACAAGCTGCCTGTTGTGTTCATTTGGAATCACATAATGATATAAGGTCTTTGGTGCTACAATACTCTTCACAGCACCATGTATTTTCATATGACATGTATTTTTAATGTATCATTCATTAGCAAGGATGTTACAGTGAACTTTCTAAATTTGTATAGTAATACAACATTCTCCGATGCTTTAATCCCAAATGCTTCTTCTGTATTGTAAAGTATAGATCTTTTTCATTGTATATTTCATGGATAGGATTCACCATAAGAAAAAAAATGAAATGATTTATATTCATAAACTTATTTCCACATCTTAGAAAACCATGATATAAGAATTAGTAAGTTAGCTACAAGATGTTGAAGGATTCCATCAAGAGTACATAGCATGAATATATATGTGTGAACATGCAAATATGGATGACTATACATTTTCTTCCCACATTTCTTTAGAAATATTAGTTCTGTCCTGCTTGCTTAAAATAACATGATTAAATTTATGGCTGTATCTTAATATTAGACATTTATCTGTATTTTGTAAATACAAATATGCATACTCATAAAATTCATATACAAACACATAAAGGGAGACAATGCAGATTGTTTATAGACTGGGCCACACATAAAATCATTTTTATGCAACTCAGAAATAAAGCAGACAACAGCTTTACCTCTTGTAAAGTGTGTGGCAAACAAGGGTATGAAAGAAGCAATTTATGTAGTTCGTATGCTCTAAGAAAAATATTCCCCAAAGATTATATCTGAATTCAATTTTATGCTCTTAATTTATCTAGTTCCTCAAATAAAACACAAAGCTTCAGAATGGTCAGTCTGTGGATTCTGCTTAAATTAGAAGTCTTTTATATATTTAAAGAGAAGAGCTTCCATAAAACTGAGATCCTTCTTCAAGAAGCAATCAGAATGCCAAATTACATATGAAATAACAACATTTCAAGATTATATTAGTAAATGACTTCTGTAACTGTTTGGTTATAGGAACTGACGCCCCTTAATTTGGTTTCTAGAATGTAACCTTAGGGGGAAAAAACAACACTATTTTAGCATTGTCATATAGATAGAACTAATCCACATCACAAAAATTTTAAATTGAGCATTTATACTGAACTGATTTTATTTCCCTTCTAGTATTTTGTAATTGTAAGTCCTCTGCCAAACTGAAATATATTCATATTGGAAACAAATGGTATAATGGTAAATTCACTATTAATTTCAAATATTAATTTGTACCTTTTCTGAAGGAAAAAGAAGAATGAAGAGAACTATAGCAGTCATACTTGCTAAGAAGGGGGAAAATGGCATTGTATTTCCAAATATAATTATGAAAGAAAATGTTAACTGTACAGACTTAGAAAGTCACTAATTTAAAATGAAGTCAAATTTTCTCAATCTACCATTAGCCAGTAAAGCAAACTTTTAACTTCTCAAAAATTCAGGTAAATAGGCATTGAAACCTAACTCTTTTTATTCTAATACCTCATACATATATTCATTTTATTTTTTGGCTCTGAATAAACAAGTTATAAAATGGGATTTTTCTAAACAAACTGCATAGATGATTCTCAATCAATTCTCAATCAGTCTAACCTTTTCAACGCTAGAACATCTCTGGTCAAGCCACTTGAGTGCTTCTCCTGCTTCCCCTTATGTCTCTTTTTTTATTCTGTTGGAGAAGATAGTTATGGAATAGTTTTGTTTTTCCTACCATTTTAAAGAATAAGCAGAAGTTGGAAAATAGATGGTTAATGAAGAAAAATCATATATTTAGGCCTTTGTTTTTCCTTTTCTAATTCATTTTCATACATAAACATAAGTGAATGACTCTGTGTGTTTACACACTCATGTATATTATATATACACTGAACTTGTGATTTCATTGGCATAGGAAATTCCTAGATGAAATAAATATCTCTCTCCCTCTCTCTCTTTACCTCCCTCCCTCCCTCTCCACAGACAGTTGAAAATAAATAGGAGAAATAGGATTGAAAACGACAATACATATGCACAACTGTTTTAAAAATATTTTCCTAAAGGTCATGTGCAGGATATCATTCTGCATTAGACTTCATATTGCCCTTTCCTTTGTAACTTTCTAATGTAGTTATCATGTTATATTAGTGATATCTGTATTAATGTTTCCCCCCAGACTCCAAAGATTCATGAGAACCTGAACCCTGTCTTGAATCCATATCCTGGTCATGAAGCGTTGCCATGAATCAAACTTGTCATATTACTGTTACCCTTCATTGCTAGAGCTGTAGTCATTGGTATAAATATTGAAATCTTCCCACACTGCCTCGGGTTGCAAGCCATTGTATTCCTACTTGCAAGCCATTTCCTTCACTTTGAAATTAAATTTCTGTTTGATTCCTGACTCTCTTATCTCTATCCTGCTCTGTTAAACTCCAGCCACCCACAGGTTAGAGGCCAGTTCCATCCAGTTGGCAGTATCTACTGAAGATTCTAGCATGGTATCTTGACAATACAAAACTGATTCAAGACAGGGTTTAGGCTCTCATTAATTTTGGGGACTTGGGGGGAAAAATTAACACAGATATTGCTAACATAATATGATAACTGCATTAGAGAGTTACAAAGCAAAGAGCAGAACAAGTTGGGAAAGCTTCATGGAGGAGGTGGCTTTGGCATACAATAGGCTTCAACAGGCAAAGGACTTCAACAGGCAAAGATGGGAAGGGAGGGTTTCTAGGCATAGAGAAATGCCTGAGCATGTTATGGCTTATATTCAGAAAAATGGTCTATTTCTCAAAAAGATGAGTCTGTCTGCAAATGGACCAATTAGTCCTTAAATATAAAGAAACATTTATGGCCTTTCAAAATAAATTAGATTCATTGACTCTGTCTTCAGGGAAACACAATAAAACAAATCAATGATACTCAATAGAAAGTGCTGCTGAGAAAGTCTTTGAGAACTTGGTTTCATCAGTTAGAAAAGAAAGAAAGGATGGTTTAACTAGATCTCACCTGAGCAAGTGTTTTCTTTTCTTTTTTATTCTACTTATTACAAGAAAAATTAACTCCATATTTGCATTTTCTCTTTCAAAGTATATTACTGTTTCTGTTTTGAATGGCAGATGTTTTTCCACATTTGGCATGGTCTAATAGCCACACTTATCTTGGCAGTAGCCAATTTGCTAACAGCTTGACTTCAAAATATAATTTCTATATGCACAACTGATTAAAAAAAAACACAGCAGTAGCATGAGCCCAACTAATACCCCAACTAGGAATGAAGGATTGCAGAAATGAACATTTGTGGTCAGAGTGGCCTGAAAAGGAAAGAAACACAAGAAAAGAAAGATGGAAAAATAACTGAGACAAATTCTTCTCCATTGATCAACAATATGTATTCATTAATCACCTATTACGGGCCAAACACTATGTTAGGTACTGAGGATACAAAGAATAAAATCTACTCTCTCTGGAGAGACAACAGGCACATAGGTAATGAATATATGCAGAATAAATATATATACAAGGGAGAGAGAAAAGACATTAACAGTCAGTGGGATGGGAAGGAGGAATCAGGAATGGCTAATGTAGGAGGTGATACATGAGCTTCATCTTTAATGAAGAGATGGATTCTACAGTAGAGATGAGGAAAGAGTATGTTCCAGAGATGTGGGATACTAATAAAAAGTTATGGAGTCTGGTGATGGAGTGTCACGTGTGAAGTATGTCAAGAAGGCCCCTACCATCAAAAAGTCAAGTTGGGATGGCTAAAAATGTTTAGCTAAATTCTTAGAAGGGAGGAGAAGATAGGAAAAAAATATACTCTACTGTTTCTGCATAAGTTGGCTAATAAACAAAAGTCTACGTGCAAAGGTGCTAGTATTCTACAGCTAGAAGGGAGAAAATGAGAAAAAACAAATACAGCTGTATTTAAATAATCTTTGATGACATTGAGTTCTTTAAAAAGAGTATCCTGGAGGGCAGGGATTATTTTGTTTTTTCTTTGTATATACAATGACTAACTCATAGTTAGACACATGACAAATGTTCAGTGAATGGATGAATAGGAAGAAATGTACTGTTTCATGCAAAAAAACCAAGAATTCCTTTTTTTTTGTAAAGTGAAAAGTGTCAACAAATATTAAAACTTCTCTGTCTTATAAAAGTGGTAGTTCCAGATAAGTGTCAAGGTTGAGGACTATATACTCATCAATTATCAATTACCTCTAGACAAATGAAAAGCAACAAAGACTAACTTGATTCAAGTTCATCATTTAGATACCCTTGATTTGAGACCTGTGTATTCTTAAAGAAACCACAGACTTATTTTACTAAACATGCAAATTACTAATAACCATTTGAATAGGATCCTTTACATGATGGAGTTGTAAGTTTCTTAGTGGAACTTATTTAGACAAGGATCACTCAAACATTTATCTCAGCATTACAAAAAAATGACAGCTACAGCTAACATGGCAAATATACAAACAAAAAGTGGTACAAGATAATGAACAGAAAACTAGCCTGGAACTTAAAAGATTTGGGTTCTCATCCCAACTGTGATACTTATAAGCTCAATTACTTTAGGACAATTCTGTTTTCCAAGATTCCATTTATTTCCTCATCTTTTTTGTTGTTTTTTTTTTCTTTAGTCAATTGGGGTTAAGTGACT